CCTTCTTGCCGAGCTGGAGCTTTACAATTGGGCCGTATTTCCGGCCCAGTTCCGTGAAGTAGGTGTGCAGCTCTGGGTCGAGAAACGGCAGATTTCCGAGCAGTGGAACGCCGCGTGGACCCGGTGGCAGCCGCACGCGCCGCCGACAAAATCTGACATATAGATAAATAACCAGAAATCCGGCCAAGAAGGTGAAAATCGAGCGCCCTTGCTCTTGGTTGTCCACGGTTTCACTCCACCGCCGCCATGGAAACAAGAAATTGACAGAATCAATGAGAGTTTGGAGGAAATTGGCGCTTTCCATGGCAGAAGGGAAGAAAAATAGAGAATTTGGAACCGAAGATATTTCTAATTAAAACAGGGCCGATAAGGAATCCATGGCTGTGCTTATGCGCATAAAAGAAAGAAAAAAGTGAGAATCTCGAGAATGGAGATGAAGAAAACACATGTGCGTTTTTTCCGTACAGACATGGAGAAAATTTGGTCCTCATAAAGAGTAAATTAGATCTTGGTGCATCCTCCTGTCGGTAGCTTTGATTGTGACTTTACAGCCAAAGAAATGAACACAACTTTTCGTGCTAATGTTGAAATTATTGCCTTTTATGTGCAATTAATAGTGGGTAAAAATTTTTTCTCAACAAATAAAATAAATAAGAAGAAAAATAAATAAACGGTAATTTTGAGAATGATGTAACTTTAAAAACAAAGTACAAAAATAACGTAGATTTAAAATAATAATAAAATTAATGTAATTCAAATAAATTAGACGTTTAAACTATTGATAAAAATAGGTTAGATGTTGGTCAAAGTTGTACACAAAATACGATTTAGGTTCCGACACCTCATATTTGAGGTGGATTTTGACGAATGAGTCAACAAGAGAAGTCGCGTACTGTATGCGATTTCTAATTATGAAAGTTGCATTCAATGAATGAATTTTCGTTTATGGAAGTCACGTACAAGAAAGGGAAATAGCGTATATGCAATTTTTCTTAAATATTTATATATTTATATTTTACAAAAAAAATATTATTTATTTTAGTATTTTAACCATTTTAAATATATAAGTAGAAACATAAATTCACATGCATACGTATACCTCTACAAACAACAAAATATATTTTTATAGAAAACAGTCCAATTTAACAAAAAAAATACAATCATTTTTGTAAATACTTTATTTTTGTAAATACTTTTCAAACTATATTATTTAGGATAATTTTCGAAAAATACATCATTTTTTCTTAAATTCCAATAAATAGTGAGTGAAAGTGTTAATTATTTATATTAATGGTAAGATTTATGGCAACTCATCAATTTCACTTTTTAATTAATTGATAATTTAACGTGATATTAAAAAAAATTCTATATTCTTTTAGTGTTAACGTGAGATGGAGGATCGAACTCACAACCTCATGGTTTGAGGTATATGCCCTGAGTTATGCTCGTTTTGGCAAAAGAAAAAAAAAATCTACATTTAAGTTTTTATAATGTCATTTTCTTCCTACTAGCATTAATTATCCTTATTATTGTCGGATTTTGTACAAATTTTCAACCCCACATATTTTTTTGGTATTGGAAAAAAAATACAAAATATCATGACCTAATATTAATATTAATCAAATTTAACTTAAATACTTAACCATTATAATTTTTTATTTATTAACTTTTTACAAAATGTCAATGACGCTTTTACTCTGACGATGCAAAAAAATGTAGTTATTTTTTATTGGATAGGTCACAGAAATACCAACAGCTAAGAGCTAAACAGGGAACTCTTTTAATTAACATATATAACTTATCTTAAATATATATATGTGTGTGTATAGATATATGTGGACAATACGAAATTGCTTCATAATACTGAGGTATTCTTCTGTCCACATTTTTGTGAATCTCATAGTGTCGTGTGCATGGGATCATGTCCATGTGAGAAACCAACATACATGTCATGTCATGGTTCCACATATGTAAATTTTTTTTAAAAACGACCTCGTTTTATCTATTTTGAATTATAAAAATTATTGATAGATCCGTCTTCTCGTTCTTGTTGTTTACAATTGATTTTTAATGAAGTCTCTCTCAGATAGGAATTGTGAAAGATCTGTAATATAAATTAAATTATGATACAATACAAGCAACCGGCAGCTCTTGAATCGTTTAGAAAATTTGGAGTTGAAGGAATAATTAATAATTAATTATTTAATTTATTCACGTACCTTGTATTTCGTCATTGTTGCTATTTATGTTTGAACTTCAGCAATTATTTTTTAAGATAATAGGACAAGAAACAGACAAGTAATTTGAGATTTTTTATAATTTAATAATTGTAGGTGTTAGGGGGTTATTTTCAACTCAGACGTGGCATATCTTGATTGGAGAACGAAAATTATACGTGGCTTTAATTGATAAAGAGCTGACGCCCACATTGCTTGAGCTGAAGGCATTACCTTTGATTTTTATTTCGTTCGTTGATCGAACCGACTAGGACATACTTAGCGCAGCCTCCACTCTCCGTCAAAATTCACAACAATGCGCCGCGATTCACGCTCACTTTAAAGAGCCGTTGAGGCCTTGTTGGGAGCATTATCGAGGAAGTTGCCTATAAATAGAACTCATTTACCCCATTTTTGGGTATGCGAACATTAAATTCTCTCTTGAATTTAGCTCGGTCATCTATTGACTCGGTCGTCGGAGTGTCTTCTGTTTTGCAGGTTCCCTGTTCAACACAGCACCAGCTCATCTTCCAGGTCATTCTCATCCGAACCGAGGTTATCGAAGTTGGTCAATTTCTTGATCGAATAGTAGGGTTGGAAACATTGGAAATTGTAATAGTTACTTCAATTGAAGCAGATTTCAATTGACAAATTTGTGAGAGTTTAATGTTGGAATAATCACTAAATTCTAGTCATCAATTATACCCTCTTGTGCGAATCTAATAGAAAATAGTAGGCTGTAAATGGGTTGGTTTAGCTAGATTTGGAGCAAAATGAAGTAGAACCAATTAAAAAATGCAAACTTACCGGGAATCGAATTGAATCGCAAGAAAATCAATGTCAAATCGTGCCGGACTGATAAACCGGTATGGTGAGTTAACCAAATAACACTGCGATTCAAAATAATTTTCGTTGGTTTACTTATTTTTCATTCGCTTCTGGCAATTTTAGGCGGTTTTCTATCAATTTAGGTGTGATATTCTATCTTTTATTCTATTTTGTCTCATAATTTTGAGTTGTTATTTAATGTTGGGTTGGGTGGACTTATGTTTTATTATATCGGTTCAGGTCGGTTTTTACACTAGTTTTGTGTGGCAAAACTAAAACCGACCTGCTATTATCGTGTTTTAAAATTTTCAAAATCAAAACTGACATCGATTTAAACTAAAACCGAACCGATAGTCGGTTTCGGTTGGTTTTATCGGTTTATGTCAGACATAATTGTTATGTTGAGCGGATAGTCTCTAAATCCTTAAATTAGGTGACATGAAACTACTTATATATTATAGTCTGATCGTAGGGCTCTCAAAAACAAATCTTAACCGTCCAAAGCCTGTCACATTGTGAACATACTGTCAAGAACTCAACTCGATCGGGCCAAAGATTAACCTACAAAAGTACTGAAAATGCTTCTGCACGAGAGTCTTTCTCACCTAAACAAACACAGTCCAAAATATCTCACCTTCTATCGAGTGGGGACAATAAATTTGAGAAATATGTTTGATATTTGATTGGAGGATGGTTTTTCTCAATCAAACAAACAATCACGAGATCTCCACTATAATGTGAGGGATGAGATTTTAGAAACGACTCTCTTATTTTGGAGACCATGATTCTAAGACCATTTATATAGAATTATTTTCTTTATTATTTCATTAAAATTATAAAGGGATATCCAATTCTTTTTTTTTTCTCCCCTCATAAAATATTCTAACTCACTTGTCACTACAAGAAATTCGTGCTTCCACAACACACAAAATCGTCGTAATAGATAACTATTTCGTCAGCAAAATGTATTTTTGACAATTTGTTTTCGCCACAACGATCATCGAACGACAAAATTTATTTTGTCTCCATATTCGTCGCAAACGACCTTTGGGGATGAAATCCGAACTTCATTGCGAAAAGCTTTTGATAATGAAAATCAAATTTCGTCTCCAAAGATTCAATTTTGTCTAAAATCTACACATACATCTTTTATAAAGTTAGATTTATATTAAACAAAAAGTGACTTTACAATCGGTTTAATATAGAAAGTCAAATACCAATATAAGCTAAATTTCTTTTACAACTTAAATATAAACCTAATCTAGAAAGTCTCATCTTTTCATTTTATGTAATATTCTCTAATTTCCAAAGCTTAAAAATCAAAATAACCTGAAAAATAAAGGAAAAATAAACCGATATGAACAAAGAGTTGTATACTTTAACTCATTCCACTACATTTGAGCACTAAACAAACTTAACTTTAAAAAAGCAATTTAGCGATAGAGTAAATCAACAATTAACTTCAAGCGTAGTGCCTAAGTGGTGTCAAAGAAGCCAAAATGATCTCAAACCACGCAAAACTTACCCCAATTGAACTTAAATAAGCTAAATTGGTATTTTAGTGGCAACGATATGATACAATGTCACAAACTCACCCCTTTTAACATAGCTCTAGGTAAATAGTTCTCGAAGTTGCCAAAATGTAACTGAAATATACTCGGGAAGGAATGATCCATATCCAACCTAATATAATTTTTTTTTTGCAGCTAAAGTATATCTAAGTTTCATGGCCTAATCTATATTCTACAAAGAAAGATTAAAATTCATATCCAACATAATTCAATATCTATAAGTATCTTCTCTAAACGCTCTAAAACTACTTTGAAAGTAACAAAAGATGTCTATTCACTTCACATGTCATAAACTCACCAAACTAAGCATTCAAGGAAAAAAAAAATATTTCTAACCCAAATTCACTCCACATTATCTCACACTCGTCAAACCACTTTTAAATTCAACAAACTGATCATCCAATAAAAAGAAATGTGTTTAACTCACATAAGCTAACACTCTATTATTTAGTGTGGCTACCATCCATAACTACTGTAGGATAGCCCTACAATAATTCCAAACAAACTATGACATTAAATAAAGAACTAACTAATAAATACTAGATAGTTATATAAGCTAATAAAATATGATACAACATACAACCAAACATGCAAAATACAATAAGTTTCAATATGATTTTATAACACTAAATAAATCATACATACCTAGTTAATTAGAAGGGACCTCTTGTGTGTCTGTCATTGTACGATCAAAACAAGTCTAATTAAGAAAACATGGACAAACTATTAACAATTATGGATGAGAAGTATAAAGACAAAAATTTAAGGCAATTGCATAATTTAAGTTCATAATCATTATACGAAAACAAATTAAATTTAAATAAGCTTGTTCTCATACTCCTAAATATAATATCAAG